TCTGATTCCTATTATGTGTAATTTTTCTACCGTTGTGATCACCGTGTTCTTCTCTACAGGTTGACCGGAGCAAAACACCCAACCGCAGCGTGAGTCGGAGGAGTCGCCGTACTGGAGCGCTCCACCGCCGGTAAGTTTTGATTTTTTGTATTTTTTCGGCCAACCGATGCCCCTTAACCAGTTTTCTCGCAGAAATTGATGCAAAGTCGGCCGAATTCAGCCAAAAACAACCAACCTGAGGCGAACTGTCGCCGTGCCAGAATTTCAAAATTTGCCAAGTGGGCCATGGGACTGATTTTGGGTTTGGTTGGGATATTTGTAGATATTATTAGCGCGTTTTAATTTTCGAAAAAAAAATTCAGATAATCTAGGAATCGTTCGTAGGTGCAGTCGAACAACTTAGCTTTTCGGATATCAAATCGAGTAAGAATCTCTCACTCTATTCCTTATCATAGAATTGAAGTCTAAATAAATAATAATCCGATATTTTGTGCGAATTTAGAAAATATACATAATTAATTGCGGATTGCTAATGGAGACAGAACCATAAATTATCTACTATTATTTGTTGATTATTTTTACAGTTTATATGCATGATGATATCTTATTAATTTATTTTATGGCTTTGAATGCATATATGGTTTATTCTATATGTTTACGATTGAATTGGAAAAAATGAAAGTTTAACGGTAAAGATTGTGTGATTAAGTGAATTGATGAAACGACAGATTTACTAGATATTATGGGAGATAGTGCACGGACTAGGTACATAGAAAACTCTACCATGAACGTTATCTCATGCCGGACTGGGTATCGGACTTGATAATTTGGCAATCATACCGAACGGGGTATGGAAACGATCTGCTTCACCCTCATACCGGATGAAGTATTGAGATTTTGTAATTTGACGCTCATACCGGATAGGGTATGGGGATGACCCATAATGGATAATGTTAAAGGAAAAGATTCATGTGTATCATAGATATCCCTATGAACCCCCATGGATACCAACAGGCTGGTAAAAAGAGTGACAGTTATTGTTTGATTTATTGATGATGGATATAGGATTATAATATGTGATATGTTGCTGATTTTATATGAAATCATGATCTGTATAATATTATTGTCTGTATAGGTTGTTTTTATAAATTTCACTACGGTAAATGATTTTATGATTGATAAATGAAATTGTTAAATTTAGTGTTCCATTAGTGATTTTTGATTTTCTACCAACCTTTATTTATGTGTCAGTGATATAGTATGATGTCTTTATTGAACTAGTGTAGCTCATTCTTTATTTAACCATTTCACATCAAGATGACCAAGTTCTAGAGCCCGAACCGTAAGAGTATTGCGAATAGAAGTTAGTTTTTTTAATTTTTCGTTTATTTTTTTATTTTTTGTATTTTTTTTAAAGACTGAACTACGTAACTCTGTTTGGTTCTTTAAGTTACCGCGTAGGGAATGTAAACCTTAAATATTTATTACGTTTTCGCACATAATTTATACTTTATTCCCTTTAGAGATTTTCAAGGTCGTCCCAGGTATACCTTGAAAATATATAAAAGTGTTATTTAGATTATTTTTGATATTTTAATATTTATATTATTAAATTAATCATTAAAATTATTTAGTAAAAAATTAAAATAACAACTAATTTATGGGTCATATAATACTTCTCATTTTGTACGAGGATAAATACTAAAACTTCGACTTCTATATAATAAAAAAATAGATATATAGGGCGCTATATTAAAAAAAATATGTAATTAAAATAATAATAAATAAAATACGTCATTCTTTGAATCACATAATATGTAGCATTTTTCATTTTGCTTCACTTAACTCTTAAAGTGAAATTCAATTCATTATACTAATTCCATTTCCTCCTAATTAATCACAAGCAATCCTAAAAATT